AAATTGTTTCATATGTTGTCAAGACCTTATGAAATTTTGCATGTGATCGTAGCTCTCTGTTTCTAATGTTCCAAACGATTTAGCGAGCGCATCACCAATGTTACATAACATGTACTGAGTATTCTCACCATTGCACACAAGCCAGGTTCTAAACTTCTTTGTTACCTTTACTTCATACCATAGATCAGCAAAAAATATGGATGGGCCTCACTCGAATTCACTTATGAAATATATTTTCCTTTTTGGGCTCACTTGAACTGAGACTTACCAAATATTTGCGCGAGTGCACTAACTCGAACTCAAGATCACCGTAACATTACTACACTCAGCCTAACTCCGATTGAAACTCGCGACTCAATCTGAGTGAGTTTGTTTACTTATGAGTGCGTTTTGCGCATATTTAGCTTCTTTGACTTTAGTGTGAACGCTCTTTGAAGTTATACCTGGCATGATTGGTGTCATACTAGGTATATTACAGCAAAAGCTATGATATCAGAACTCGGGTCCCACGCGACCGTAGTTGTCCGCCGCCGCCGCTGGTATCTGTAAGCACATCGCGCGAAATTACAAAAAAAAAAAACTTAGCAGCAATGACACTGTGGGGCTTGAGCCCGGGTCCGCTGGGTTCCAGCTTAGTATTCTACCACTGATCCACGCTGGTGCTGGGGACCTGCTGGCAAACTTGCTTTAGGCAAGCTTGATGTTGGGAAAAGTGTTGCGATTACGATATGACTTATAAAGCCTTTTAAAACAGCGAAACAACAACTAGTCGTCGCACAATGTGAACAGCGTAACGAGTGAGTCATCCAATGCTCCAATCTATTACAAAAGCTTCTTCTTGCTCCCCCATCAACTGTGCCGCATACCCACTTAAGCCAGCCAACCCCGCCGCGGGGGTCTAGTAGCTAAGGTACTCGGCTGCTGACTCGCAGGTCGCGGGATCAAATCCCGGCTGCGGAGGCTGCATTTCCGATGGAGGCGGAAATGTTGTAGGCCCGTGTGCTCAGATTTGGGTGCACGTTAAAGAACCCCAGGTGGTCGAAATTTCCGGAGCCCTCCACTACGGCGTCTCTCGTAATCATGTATGGGTTTGCGACGTTAAACCACACATATTAACCCCTTCAGCCATAATTCCTTATCGTCGTAAGCCGCTGCATGAACCATTGGAACAAAATTCCTTGCAAGTGTTTAGCGGATACCACACTTCCCAGAAGAGTGACAAAAAATAGCATAGAGGATGCCGGCATACTACCAAAAATATAATAATAATGGCGTAGTGGTTATCAAGCAAGTGTGCTTGCAGTAGTTACCCAATGAGTGTTTAGAAAGGCTCTGAAAGATTCTAACCTTCGCCATGACTGTGCTGCGCATTACGCACAGACCTGGCATTTTTTTTTTTTGTCCTTTAGCTCTGCATATGGGTTTTCAGGGGTCGCGATCAGGAACAATCTTTTTTAACACGAAAGCGTCTTATGACGGGGTTCACCACGGATCCGATGACGTACTTTCATCACGGAAGTGATGTTGATAAGTGTATATGATTGAAAAGAAAAAGAACAGAAGGAAAGCATATGTCACGTGGAATCCAACCAGATATCTCTCGATTCCTAGCGAGCGCTAACCACAACTTCACAGAGCGTATTTGTCTGGAATGCTAACGGCAAGGAATTCGCTACACCATATACCGCTTGTCAGTCCTCTGAGCTTCGAAATAATAGCGCGTTTTTGTTTCCGGTGGTGAGATGGCACGACAAGCTCGCCTTGGGCGTGCTTTAAAGGTCGTCGCCTTTATGGAGCGCCGCCTCCACGGAGCGTGGTCTCTCCTGCGCGCGCGTTCATCAGACTCGTAATTCGGGAGGTGGTGGTGGTAGTGGTTGTAAGGAAGAGCAAAAAGGCACCTAATTTCTGTCTGCCTATAGGTGACACGGCGCAGTGCCTTGAAGAGGTGGGGGTAAGGAGGGATAAAAAGAATATAAAGAAATAGATGAAGAAATAGAGAGGCAAGCGACGGAAAACAGAAGGAGATAGGAAAGTGGGGATTCGGTCGAAGCAGTCCAAGGGCGGGGCACTACAATGCGAGAGCTGCACGGCGTCAGGAGACCATGGAAGGCGAACCAGTCGGCGGGAGCTACGCTGGCATCGGAGATCGGAGAGGACGAAGGCAACATTGCAAGCTGCCAAGGCAGCGTTTACAAAAGGAGCGCTGCTGACACACGACGCCGCAAGAAGTGTGACAGTTTCCATTCCTAACGTGGCTTTGCAATTTGTTGCTGTAGCTAAAAGAATGCACAACATATGCTTAACTACCTATTTATTGACACGTTTTCTTTTCGTGTTATACCGATTCCAATGTAGGGGTATCAGGCACGTTTTTTTTTTATTTTTTAAGACGATTCAGCGCTATCTTTATCAAGCCTTTAATATGAAAAATATTGGGAGGGGGGGGGAGGGCAGGTGAAGGTGATTCTACTATCTGTAACTCACGCCTCTAATCAATGAATAGTAAGCTGGTGTGACTCAAGGCTCACTCGGAGTCTGGGTGACTCAAGAGTGCGACAGACCTATGTTCTACAAAAAAATACTGCTTTACGTAGAGATGTACAATCAGAAATTAGTTGTCAAAAACTGCAGAAGCCCAAGCTAAACTAAAAAAGTGCATTTCAAAGCTCGTGCGAACAATATGAGGGTTTTTTTATTCAATTTCACTTCATGTGAAACTGCTTGTGTAATTCTTGTTACTTTTTTATTTGTTTGGCAAATTTCTTTTTATTTTTTGCGGAAATAGACATCATCAAGAATTTCCCAGATCCCACGTACTTGGGAATTGACGTTAGGCTAAGCATGCAGAGGGAAGGTTACCGTGTTGCAATTTTTTTATTGAGCTACACGTCTTAACAAGACGCTAAATATATGTAAAAATGTTGCACGCACAGACATATGTTGAAGAGTTGCAGATGTTTATATAACCAGCTATTTGCACTTGCGCATCATTGCCAACTGGAACATGCGTATTGGCAACACCAGAAGCTGATATGAAGCGCTAATGCTCGCAATATTGCTTGTCCTGGACACTGCTACAGAAATTCCACAATTGACGTTAACCTGACGTGACTGCTGTATCAAAGGATGACCCATGTAATGTTCATAATTATTGTGTAGGTAGCACTGCAACCAGAATTGACGTTTCTCGAAGATTAGCGTCTATTTTAAATGTAGTTTCGAGACCTGGCGTAGCTCTGTGGTATGCTTCAATGCCACGCAGAATGCTTGGGTACGATTCTAGCAGGGACCCTGTCATTTATTCCTTGCATTCGTCGGGTCGACGCTAGCGATGGCGGGTGTTTGTTAACGCTCGCGCATTAAAATTGCCCATGTGTGTTCTCGTCGTTACTGGGCAGACACTAAGTGTCAATTCCCTCTGGCAAACACCTGCATACAAGCGGCACACATCCGGCCGTGGGTATGTGCCACTGTCTGGCGAGAAGTGTATGACGACGAACGCGATGGGATTGTGACATTATACTTATGTCTTGACCAGCGTGTAACATTTGTGAAACTATCTTAACCTCCCATGCCGATTTCGGTTCACGCCAACTCAATGGAGTAACCACGAGAGCACCCAAACGTAAGCCTCGAGATAGATAGATAGATAAATAGATAGATAGATAGATAGATAGATAGATAGATAGATAGATAGATAGATAGATAGATAGATAGATAGATAGATAGATAGATAGATAGATAGATAGATAGATAGATAGATAGATAGATAGATAGATAGATAGATAGATAGATAGATAGATAGATAGATAGATAGATAGATAGATAGATAGATAGATAGATAGATAGATAGATAGATAGATAGATAGATAGATAGATAAAAGTCACCGAAGTTCGTTAAGAAATGCTTTGCATTTAATACTCGAAAGGAAGTCTTCCCGTTTTCTTTCCAAAGAAAGCATCATGCCATGAATGTAAACCGTTTTCGACACCAGAGGTCGATTTCCGAGTTGCTCGTTAAGCAGCAATACCTCAGCGAGAGCGGGCAGCACTAGCGTTAAGAACGTATGACTCTAAACAAATTCGGAAAATATTACTTACCATTCACCATATAACCATGCTGAGATAACGTTTCCCTCATCGCTCCCATCTTGCATGCGATAAACGGGCCTACATCAATACGCTGCTCGTGCTCAAAGACTCAGCGGGCGTGTTAGCCATCTCTGAAATCCAGTATTAGATTCCTTCCCACTTCGGAAGAAATGCATCCACTTCCACTCACTTTATCATCGCTTCCTATTTCCGTCTCGGACGCAACTATAGCAGCATATCTATAAACCCAGTCCGCAATGCGATTACTCCGGGCAACCGACAGCATGTTCTCGATGCTATCGAGAATGAGCAAGATGAAGGGCCTCCTCTCGATGAACCTTCGTAAGCAACTGAGGCAAGAACCATCTGACAAAAAACAAGAAAAAAACAGTTAGGAACGCAAATAACAACAACGCCTATCGAGGAGCGCGCTTGCAAAAGTTGCACCGGTAAACAGCATGAAAAATGGGGAGAGAAACTTACTGAAAGCAATGCATGTGGATTTTAGTTCGAGGAGGCCGACACGAAGCCGCTTATTGCGTCGTGCGGCTCTGTATTGCTATCCGCGTAGCGGTCTGCGCAGGCGAGAGGCCCGCCGCCTATATAAAGACCCGCAATGGTTCTTCGTCCCGAGGGTGACCCACATCTCTCTCTTTTATCGTCTTTTCGGCGCGCAACAACACCCTCTCGACGTGGCCACTAAACATTCTCTCTCACTTCCTTTGTGTTTTCCGCGAGAAAACGGCCGTCTCCGAGCAAGTGCCGAAAAGGAGGAGTTATCTCCTTCACTCTCCCGCCGACTGTTACTCTCTCCTACACCCCACCGTTCATGTCCTTCCCTTACCCCTGTTGTTTATTTAAAGGCGGCCTCACGCACACACGGCCCCCTTGAAACCGATCAGCCGCCGCCGGGGCAGGTGTCACTCCGCTGAGCAGGGAGAGCCCGAGCGCGCGCGACATCTGAACCTATAGCTCACACCGAGACCTTGAAACGCGACGACGATGGCCACGTCTGGATTCGAGAAGATCTCCACCAGCGACTATGGGGAGTTCAGCCGCTGGAGTCGTCCCCTGTACCCACGCTCCGATCCGCGGACCCGAGACTGGTTCCTGCTGGGAAACCCTTTCTTCATCACCCTGGTTGTGGGAGGATACCTGTACATCGTGTACCGTGGCGGACCACGTTTCATGGCCGGCCGTAAGCCGTACGACCTGCGCGGAGTTATCAAAGTCTACAACATAGCCATGATCGTGCTCAACCTCATCTTCGGCTACCACTTCTTGAGGAACTCCTACCTCGGCGGTGACTACAACTTATTCTGCCAAGGCATGACGTACGCGACGGATCAGAAATCGTTGAACATTCTCTGGTGGGGATACTTCTACTTCTTTGTGCGCGTGTTCGACTTCATGGACACCTTCTTCTTTGTACTGCGCAAGAAGTACAACCAGATAACGCTCCAGCATACGCTACATCACACGCTCATCGTGGCCAACGGCTGGCTCTGGTACACGCTCGGTGGTGACGGTCAGTCCTTATTCGGCGGTATTATCAACAGCTCCATTCACACTATCATGTACTTTTACTACTTTCTGGCTGCCTGTGGTCCTGAGTACCGGAAGTATCTGTGGTGGAAGAAGTACCTGACGCGCGCGCAGATTGCACAGCATCTCATCATCATCGTGCACGGACTCATTCCTCTGTTCTACGACTGCGGCTACCCGCGATTCTTCATATATTTGGCTCTACCACAAGGTTTGCTTGGACTTGCACTATTTCTCAAGTTCTATGTGGCTGCGTACAGAAAGAAGGCTGCCATGGAGGCCGCCGCGGCGAAGGAAGAAGCCTTACGGAAAGGAGAATGAGCTGCAATGCCTATCACGCGCTTTTATAGGTGAAGCAGGACCGACGAATTCAACAAAGCGTCGAATGCTTTCCCAGTGTCTCCACCTTGAAAGTGCATAGTGGCTTCATGCGATTGATAAATTAAAAAAAGCGGTGCTCATGGATTTCAGAAAGTCGATGCAAATCTCAGGAGAAAACTCTGGAATAGGAGCTACCGTTTAGGACTTCGAGTTTTCGACCGCGGCTTCTATATAATATTAAAATCACCAGGGCACTAAAGGGCCCCTATGTCATCTACATCAACGCTTTTGAGCAGAACGCAAAACTTTGTATGGCCTACTCATCTCTGCGTGTGTCCGTGGGTGAACGTTTTTTCGGTGCACAATGAAATTTGAATGTCTCCTGACGATTTTCGATTAGGCCTGCAGTAGCCCGATACAACCAAATTGGGCGTTTTGAGCACTGCACGCACTTGAAAAAAAGGGCTCGGAGAAAAATATGCGCGTTGTCAAAACCAAATGCCAGGAACACTGGAGCAATGTTTTGTGACTCCCAGGTTACCACGAGAAAGGAACAGGATTCGTCTCTCGTATTTACACTTGGGCGTGCGAATGTACCCCTAGCGAATACTTTATGAAGTGCCAGTGCACAACGTCGCGACGTACGTTGTCGCGGTGCTACCGGTCAAAGGTCTACATGAAATACCTTGAGAGAGATCATTTTAGAGATAGTTGACGTTTGCTGTGTGTCGTCGACAGGAAATTGAAACTATCATGAACCGGCACGCACCAGAGAATCTCGAACTGTGACCTATCGTTGCTCGGCTTAGTGCAAGTGGCACTAGTATTTCTGGGGTCATAATGGTGACTGATATCATGGTGCACCATGGGGGTGCAGGTGGTGAAGTGGTTAGCATTCGTGTCCACTGATTGAAGCTCAAATAGACCGGTGCCGCATACTTCAACTTTGAACCTTCACGATTCTGTGCCTTCGAGACCTGCAAGTGAATACTGTGGTGCCCGGAGGCATCTCTCGTGGACGGATTTCGCCAACCGAGATACAAATATTTGGAAGACAAAGCATGGCTTCCCCTCCAAGCACTGATGGCGGGGCCCTTCGAGTGAGTGCTCACCGTGGGGAAGCCATGGCCATAGCCAACAACGTTGGAACGCATCCTCACTGCTTGCGTCAGAAGCAGTCATCGAGCATGTCCCATACGTCCAGCTTATGAAACGGTCTTCTTCAGCCTCCAAAGCAAAGCGGCTAAGAAACTAGGAACACAAGAGAACGAAATGCTCAACAACGCAAAGCGCTCCTGGTCCTTAAAGCAGCAGCGTCTTCGCAGCGGCGGGGACCAGTGGGGTCACGAAGGCTCTGTGGTCGACCCGCCTTTCCTCCTAATTGCAAAAGCACATTGCAAAAACAAAAGCGGACGAACCAAGCGTGGCGAAGCTGCGTTTCTTTCACGGAATCGTGGAAACGTGCTGGTTTGTGCTGTGTGTCGCGCACGCTACATTCTTTTCCTGTACGCTGCTTCTAACGATCACTGGGTTGGGCGGTGTGAGCGCGCCAAACTGGCCTGCGGATGTTGCGACGTTTCAGATCAGCGCGTAGCATCAAGGCCACGATGCGCAGCCACTGCCCCGCTTCCCTTTTCCTCTATGTGAGCTTTTTGGCGAGGAAACCACCTCTACTTGGTGCAGAGGCGTGTTAGCTTGGCTGAGAGAATGCAGCGCTTATGCTCAGATTTTGCTCCATTTCCCTAACACCTGCCGCAGTATAACATCAAAAACTTGTCTTCAGTCTTTAGGGCATTTAACGAAAATGCTGGCCTTGAATTATGGTAGAGGCTATAGCCGGGGCTAAGATATGTTCATTTCATTGTGATTTACTTCTCTGTCACTGCTTTCCCGAAGTACAGGAACGCCCGATATTATTCGCGAGCTGGTTACGGTGGTAAAAATTCTTTTGCTTGTGCAGTTGCGTGTCGTAAGACGAGGATAATGTCACACAAAGAGAAGAATGCGTGCCTGAAAATGCAGTTGAACCTTCTGCAAAATGAAAGCAGCCAAATAATAAACAGCTAAAGATATAAATCTTTTTCTAGCACAAACTTTATAGTGAGCTATAAAGGCATCTCAGTAAGAAGCAGTACGCAATACGAACTCACAAAGGGTCAATGTTTATTTTCATGCCGTCATCATTCAATATTGACGGCTAACAGCTCCATATACATTTGTATAAGCTTGTAATTAAGCCTACGTTCTTATTATAGATGTCTACCTTGCTCCTGGAAATTGTGAGAGCTACAGATTTTTGGAGCAAGATGACACTCTTCACAACGTCAGTTGCAGCACCAATCGCTGTGCATGACGTAGCAGACAATTTACAGAACACCCGCGACGTTCTATTTCGCGTATGAAACTAGCATTTTGAAGTAATAGTCCTCTTTAAAGGACGAGGGCAAATGTTATAGTGAAGTGTAACAAAACATTTCACAAACGTTTCATGTGTAGTCCCAGACAAGCTGTACTTTGGCTGAAAAAAAAAAACAGAGCATCTGAGTGCGCATGTGAATTTGTGAGCAAGGTCACGATGGGAGTGAGCATTGATTGCATATTGAATTCTATATTCGAGAACTTTTATAGAAAAAATGTGTTATGGTTGCGACTGTTGCGCCTTGATGTAGGCGAAACTACGGTATTCAGCTGTGTGAATTTTTTTTTATTGGTAACGGGTGAATCGCTGGTGAAGCAAGTTCAAAACTGAGGACTTCTATTGGATGATGGGTTTGAAACAGAGAATGTTTGGTAAAGTATTCAAACATCAGCTTCGCATAAACAGTGAACATTTATTTCCATAGTAAGGATTCAAAGCAGTCATTCACTCTCATGACTATGATGCTGTTCACTTAAATGAGTTATATACGCACCAAAATTCGCATTTTGCTGGCACGACTATATCATAAATACTTTCAATCTAGACGCTGTAATTATGCAAACATTTCAAAAGAATGTGCAGATGATTCCACAGTTTTAAAGAAGATTACAGGTTGTATGCTTCACGCTATTCGAATACGCGAACTCTTAGATTCAGAGAATACGAATCGGCATTAACAATTCTCCCGCAAAACTCAGAACGATATCGTGGTTTCGTTTGCTCAGTGGTTAAAAAATTTAGCACCACTGCGTTTTAAACAAGGAGCCCTCCAAGTGCACATGAAACGTATTACCCTTGCAGGAACCAGACATGCAAAAGGGGAAAACAAAATGTTCACCTCGTTTTCACCAGAAAAGTATCTATATAAGGATGTATATACAGATACTTCAACATTTTGTAGAGTACTTTATTTTCTGCCTAACATATCGGGGCAGACTGTTATGTTTGTACAATTGTTTTAGGGTACAGAAAACGCGTTTTTATGTTTTATTAACACTGCACAAGTGGCAAGAAAAACGGTGCTCATTACACTAGAGGGTGTTGGCTAGTCATGTGTGTACAACTGTGGAATACTGTGAATTCAATTATTTTTCTTTGCCAAGTCTGTCTCAGCCATAGCTGAACTGTTTACTGTGGTTCGAAGAAAAAAAAACCAAATTGAATTCAATAAAGCACTGTCCTTGACGCTACTCATTAATTTGTGGCTTTCTTCCCAATGCTTTACACGCTTCCTTTGTGCCATTTTTTTCTTCGTTTTGCTGGAGAAAGCCCCATTTTCTTTCTCCGTGTAAATTCTTACCAACGCCATAAATCGACTCCGTAAAAAAGTCCCACCAAATCCACGGAGTGACTTTTATTTACTTATGTATTTATTTATTTAAATATTTACAATACCGTTAGCCCTCGTGGGCTCTTACAGGGGTGGGAAATCAAAGTATACAGCTCTATGTACAAATCTGTTCTAAACGTCGCTGAAAAACTTAAGCTGATTCAAAAGCAACAAGTACCCTGGAATCAAGCTTGTTACACTCAACGTTCGTACTAGGCAAACCAGAAAACTCGCATACATCAATTCTTGTGGCAGAAGGCAAAATACCATAAGAATGGTTGATTCGCGGTGACACTCGTGCTGAAGGGTACTGCAAAGGTGGATTGATGTTTGGTGTGCTATTTTACAGCTGACAAAAGAACTTCAAGCGTACTATTTGTCTGCGCTCTGAGAGCTTCTGGAGGTTGGTCCTGTAAGTAGCGTGGTCACTGATTGCGTTCGCTGGTATTATGAATAAATAAACCAGGATTTCATTCGTTCCAGCTCATCAACATGCTTCGACTGTGAGGGTTCCAGATAATACTGGCATATTCTAGTGTTGGACGCACTAATGTTTTTTTTATAAGCCATCAGCTTTGTTTCAGGCATGACATCTCTTAGCTTTCGCTGAAGAACAGCCGGCTTACGTTCAGCCAAACCCCACATATATTCAATATATTTGTGCCAGGTTAGGAAGTGTTTGTAACACCTAGTTCTTTTACCTCACTAAATCGTTTACAATTTTTTTACTTTATACGTAAACAATTATTTGCGCTTTCTGATTTGTTGCCAACATACAGGTAGTCTCGTTGAAGTTAATTTTCATATCCCATTTCTCACACTACTCCTGAACAATACACAAAGCATCATTGAGCAAAACCTGGTCCGCAATACTTGTTACCCTAGAAAATATCACACAGCCGTAATGAACAGTCTCACATTAATGCAAGAGTGACCAGTTTTTGCAATATCGCTAATATACAACAGAAATAAAATGGGAACCAAGACCGATCCCTGTGGTACTCCGGATGTCACAGTCAATGTGTGACCGTGCTCTAGAACTACTCCCTTTTACGGCAATAGGCAGTGACCCATTCGACAATCTCTACAGCCACACCAAGCTTGTGCATTTTGCCGACCAGTTTCTTTTATGTGTGTGTGTGACAAACAGTGGTAAATACTCTTGAAACATTTATTGGGTTGATTTCTATTTGCTCTCTAGAGTTAAGTGCGAGAACAAATGTTCGTATTGTTTCATAAAGCTGAGTGACAGTGGACAGGTGTTTGCGAAAGCCATGCACATTCTTGTAGAAGATTATTACCCTCAATATACTGCACTAATCGCTTAAAAATAATGTGTTCTAGTATTTTACAAGTGGTACGTGTGATAGAGATCAGGCAGCTTGTCTCCAGATTTTAATACAGACAATACTCTGGCAATCAGCCAGTTTTTAGGCACTTTCCTTCTCGTTGCGATACATTAAAAATGTTTAACGAAAATGGCGTGATCCATTCGCAGTATCGTGTTAGATCCTGATTCGGCAGCATGCTCCTTAACCGGGCCTTCTGACTTCTTTCGTATTTAAATTTAGCAACAAGGACAAGATACAATTTTGAGAAATATTTACACGCTTGTCATTTTTTTTCTCGTTTGTAATAGCAAGGAGAAGGTTACTTGTATTTCGGGTAAATAATCCGCTAAAATAGTTTCTAAGCTTTGAGAAGCCAAGACAGAATCGTTTTACACGTGGCTCCACGCACAGTTACACAGCCTGTAGTTCTTTTAAAGCCTGAAAAGTGCCTTGAAAACTACTGAGGTGAGCCTTTTATGTACTCTGTCGATGTTTGGGACAAAAAATGATTTTCAGATGTTTTTAATTCCCCTCAAACCATTGTATTAAGTTTGGCAGTGACCTAAGGAATGCTTGGAATATTTTGCCTGGCACGCCGGAGTAGCCGTTTTAAGTGGATAATGATTGCAAGTTATCCAATTATTACATTTCTGCAAGCGCTTCAGCTCTGTTGGCACAAAAAGTGATAAACATTCTTTCACGACTGTCGTGAAATACTTTAATAGCATATCTACATTTTTTGTGTCAGGTAGGGCATCGAAGGCCACTTCCAAGCGGCTGAGGATTGAAGTGTCATCTGCATTATTGAAATCATGAACTATAGCTTCATTTTCTTGCAAGCGTGACCTATTATATGGAGCCGCGACCAGCCTGTGATCGGAAATTCTGACTGTTACATCAATTTCGCAATGGTAGGTATCTTGTGATAAAAATAACAGATCTGTCACCACTAAGGATTGGCATTGTATTCCTGTTGGTTCATTAACCACCTGATTCAATTCTATTTAAACATTATTTCTAACATACCTTTAGCATCTTTCCTATTGTTCATTCCTACAGTGTTAGAATTGCAATGCACACCAGGCAAAGAAAAGTCCCCAGTGATAACAAACGTACACCTAGCCGTGGTCACATGAGATAAGTAATCATCAACTTTGTCAAAAAACTCCGTAGAGAATGCTGGGGCTATATAAATAACTGAAAAAATTAAGATAATATTGTTCATCAATAACGTGCCCCAGACGTTTTCTGTCCCATCGATACAAGGCAGCTGCACATATTTCAGCAGTTTCTTAATGAGTAATGCAACGCCTCTACCTCCCACAGTTCTGCCATATCGAAGCACAATGTATGATCTAGTAAATACATCTACATAATCAATGTCACTGTGCAGCCAGGTTTCTGTTAACGCTAGCAGATCGGACTCACATATTAAAATCAAAACTTTCTACTTAGGTACTTCTGTTCAGGACACTTCGTGCATTCTCATTTAGTAGCATAAACTCTAAACCCGGACGTCAATTAGTGCGAGATGGGACGGTGTTTGCACACTTGTCGCTGGTGATGAGTGGGGCAAAGCTTCGGAGGGTTTTGTCGGTAAACCGCGAATCGTCCATCCATCTGTCTGTCTGTCTGTCTGTCTGTCCGTCCGTCCGTCCGTCCGTCCGTCCGTCCGTCCGTCCGTCCGTCCGTCCGTCCATTCATCCGTTTCTGTGTGACGAGCAGTATATGGGAAGACTAAGCTCTAAACAAACACTCGTATTTGTGTGAAAAAAATCACGATGACTCAACCATCAAGGAGACAATTACGAGGCCATTTATGTACTTAAAAATGTATTTACAAATGATGATGAATCTGTAATGGCAGTTAGGAAAATATCACATGTGGTAAGAGTGCTAAAGAAAAGTAAAAAAAAACCCGAACGAAACAAAGAATGACTTCACCGGGGGCAACGCGGCGGTTAAGTCCCAGGAAAAGGCTGAACGGCTCAACGACGCTGGGTGAGGACCCATGATGTTTGGGCAACGTGGTAGTTCAGCTGCCAGCCATGGTCTCACCACCGGTATCGTTGACCTTGAACGTGCATGGCTCCTGCTACGCTGCTCACGGATGCTGGCTGAGGCTCACTGTGGTAGACGCCGGGCTCGCCTGGCGGGAACATCCTGGTGCGGTTTCAACCACTCCAGGCCCGAGGTGGTCGGCTGGCTGGTTTGGCCCCGGGTGGAAGCCCGTTGCTACCTTGAGTCAGGAGCCCGAAAGGTGTCTGCTCTCGCGCCCTGGTCCTTCGATCGCCAGCCACGTCTCCCTATCTTCTTTCCCTTCCTTCTCTGTCTCATTCCATCTCATCTCGCAGTGTCGCGTGCCCCGATTCCACACGACGTCTTCTTCGATGATCCCTGACGCGAGCAGTTTAAACGCGTTTCCAGCGCTTTACTGTTCACTTTGCTATATATATATATATATATATATATATATATATATATATATATATATATATATATATATATATATATATATATATATATATATATATATATATATATTCTGCTATATGTATTGGGCGGGGCCGCGGATTTATTTTTTCTTATCTGACAATCAGTCTGTCCGTCTGTTCGTTCACACCAGCTGAGTAAGTCGTCGAACTAGGCGGTAACGTAAGAGCTAGGAGTAACAGACACACGGCTTTAGGAGCTTTGCCCCTAAAGTGTAGAGAAAATCTTCTGTGGCTACAATTCTAGTGATTTAAGTTCGATTTGTGAAGAACGAATGGTTCGATTAGTTCGATTTGTGAATGCAACAAAAATTATAGTGATAAGAAAACTTGAGCTCTGACGTTTGTTTTAAGAGCGTGCATGACTTGGTAGATGTGCAGATGTGTGTCAATATCTTCGCACTAGAAGTCTAGTTCATAAGGACCTTTGTTTTGCCGGATGTGTGAATTACCCAGCGTTATGATTTCGTCATGCGATCGCATATCGCGTAACGGCCAAAAAGCGCGCATCGTTTGTTCAAGAACTGCGGGACAGGTGTTATCAGTCCAAACGCATAATTCTTTGGCAGTGAGATGCCGCAATGAGGGCCCTCAGGTCAAGCGCATTACCGGAAAAAAAAGTGACTGCTGAACGTTTTTACTCATGAACATCAGGTCTTCATGTATATGAGGCCACGCATGCTTCTTTTGAATCCACGTGAAACTCCACAACCACCAGAAGGTGGCGGCCGCGGAGCAAAGCCAGCTGCTTGCACGCTCTACACATGCGTGAACGAGGCTGTATTCTGATCACCGGTGAAACAACTTCTCTCGAGAAATTCGTCCTCTACCCATGATAGCACCCAGGCCCGTTACGAGGAATATTTTTCGGGCTGTCGGGGGAGGGCACATGTGTTTAAGGCAGTGCAGAACCCATATTTTCATTGTTTATTTTCAGTGAAACAAGCCTACACCAAAATTTTGGGGTGGGGGGTAGAGAAATAACGGATTATTAGCCCCCCCCCCCTTGCAAACATGGATGGAGATATGGCACTCTCA